AGTGACACTTGGTACACACGGCTGCTACTATCCACAAGATGCACTGCAGGAATGGAGTATAGGAGTTGGGACGGCATGTTGAGGTTGTGCAGGACAATAGCGAGGCTCTTCTGGAGTACCGTGCGCAGTTCTGGTCGCCCGGCTATATGAAGGATATTATTAAATTGGAAAGGGATCAGAAAAGATTTACCATTATTTTGCCAGGAATGGAGGGTTTACAAAATAAAAGGTTGGATAGGCTGGGGCTTTTTTTTTTTTACTGGAACATAGGAGGTTGAAGGGTGGACCTTATAGAAGGTGAACCTTATAAATCGTGGAGGGCATAGATGAGCTGAATAGAAAAAGGTCTTTTCCCCAAGATGGGAGAGTTCAAAACTAGGGGGCATATTTTTAAGGTGAGAGGAGAAAGATTTAAAAACGACATTACGGCAACTTCTCTTTTTAAACAGAGTGGTTAGTGCATGAAATGAACTGCCTGAGGAAGTGGTGGATGCAGGTACAGTTACAACATTTAAAAGACATTTGGATAAGTACAGGAATAGGAAAGGTTTAGAGGGATATAGGCCAAATGCTGGCAAATGGGACTAGATTTATTTAGGATATCCAGTCAGCATGGACAAATTGGACTGAAGGGTCTGTTTTCATGCTGTACAGCTCTATGACTCTATATGCATTGGTCCTATGTCACATGTTTTGGTCTCGCTATTTCAAAGAGTATTTGGTACCAGAGGGGAAATACAGAAGGGTTAACATTGTTGATTCCAGTGTTCAGATTGCAATGCCGATAGAAAGCAGCATGGCAACATCTCGATCATGACATTCGTCTGTGTGATGCTGATGGTCAAACAAACTCTCTACAAGAATAAAAGAATCAGTTGCCAGTTAGGATGTCCCTTGATACGGAATGATTGTTGGCTTCACTGGCAGACAGAAATTCTTAAAAGAAAGCTTGTCAGTTGATTGTTATCAGGTGGCCAAAGCTGAACAGCTTTCCAAAAGTTCCAATATGTAAGCACCTTCTAAAGTTGAACTGAAAGCATTGGATAGTTTCAAAAAGAGAAGAATATACCAATGGCAGGGGCAGAACAGCCCATTTCAGATCTCAAAGGGTCCTGATTTTGCCTGTTTGGCTGTCATTACTCATCAAGTTGTCATGGAAGAAGATCACATTGAGGAGCTTTGGCAGGCAGTCAATTTTCATCACCAGCTGAAATAGCTCTTCTGTACTTACAAAGTCAAATACCTCGGCGACACTGATGAATGCTATAATACGGTGTCCTTTGTTCAGAGCATTTCTCTTGCAGCTGTCAGATGAGGAAATTACGTTCATGGTAGATCACCCAATTTTGAAATTACACTGGAAATCAGAATAGGTATGCTGAACCGAGAGCTATAACCTGATAAGTGCAACACCAAATACCTTTCCCACAACACTTAGCAGGGAAATGCCTTAGTAATTGTTCAATCGTTGTGGTTTACAGAGTCATAATCACACATCCTGAGGCACTGTATCTTTTCTAGAGTGGACAAAGATGTTCCCACAGATGTTGCAGGTATGCCAACTTTCCATGCTTGACGAGATCAAGCAGCATAGCATCACCACTTGGAGATATGGCCACAGCAAATAAGTCACTACTTTCAAAAATTCCTCCACTATAGGTTCCATATCCAGCTCTTCCATGACAAAATCTCTCCTTTTTGACTAGCATTTCCTTGGTGACGGACATCCTAAAGTAGAACTCAAAGCACTGTTTCACCCCATCTCTCCAATTTATTCCCCTCCATCCCCCACAATGACTGACAACCTGCCTGCTGGATTTTGCAATGACACTGTGAACTTGTTGCCTTTTTGATCAAAGCACCATGTGACATAGGACATCAGGATACTCTGGCACTCAATCTGGCAGTTCATTAGTCCCCGAGCAGCTCGGACTTCTAATCCTGATCTCCCCAAACATTCAAGAAATTTCCATCATGCAGATAGACAAGCAGGGAAAAGTCCATTAGCATTCAAATGAGGAAAAAATTCTTCACACAGAGGGGTGAGCATGTGGAATTCTCTGCCATAGAAAGACAAGGCCAAAATATTGAACATTGTTTATTTAGCTCTAAGGAACTTAATGAACAAAGTGCATGGGAAAAAAATTGAGAACACTACTGAGTTGGGTGATCAGGTATGATCATAATGAATAGCAGAATAGGCTCAAAAGGCCAATTAGCCTATTTCTGCTAATATTTTCTATGTTTCTAGATCAATTAACTAACCAACATGATTTGTCATCTCCAATATTATTGTAGCATCAAAAATAATGATAGGAGAATCCTAACAGACACTATTCATGTAAACCCTCTGAGCATCCATAGGCAATTCAACCACAGAAAACATCAATCAAACTCATCTCAATCCTGCTTTGGCATCCTAGAGAAAGAGCAAGGGTGACTAAACAGTGATCAAGAACAAAACTCAAACTTATAGCTTTATTATAATTTCCCCTCCATAAACTATAGCACCAATTCCAATTCAGGCCCCCTACTGATAATACTGGACTTGGCAGAACTATGGACACAAATGATGTAGGTATAGATGTCAGGGACAGTGACTGCAATCAATACTTTCTAACCAATTTGTCAGGGATATTATTGCACAGCTCTAGAGTATACAGATCTTGAACCTGGGCCTAATGGTAATTAGGTAGGGTCATTATCACTGCACCACAAGAATCCTAGGGTGATTATGATATACTTGAACAAATTAGCATAGAGAGGAAGGAAGCATGAACATTTTTAGCAGGCCTGAAAGTGGATAAATCCCCAGGTCCTGATGAGATGCATCCCAGGCTGCAGTGGGAGGCAAGGGATAAAACTGCAGGGGCTCTGACATTTTAAATCCTCTCTGGCCATAATAGTGATACCAGTGGACAGCAAACGTGGTACCATTATTCAAGAAGAAACCAATGGATAAATTAGGAAACTACAGAGCAGTGAGTCTAACATCAGGGGTGGGAAAACTATTGGAAAAAGGTCTGAGAGAATTAATTTTCACTTGGAGAGCCAAGGATAAATCAAAGATAGTCAGCATGACTTTTCAACAAGAGATCATGTCAAACAAATTTAACTGAAATTTTTGAGGAGCCAAGTAGGTGTGCAGGTGAGTGCTGTGCAGTTACTGTGGTCAACATGGACTTCATTAAGCCTTTTGACATGGTCTTTCATGACAGACTGGTTAAGTAGCCAAAAGCTCATCAAATCTAGGGCAATCGGTAAATTGGATCCAAAGCTGGTTTAGTGGCATTGGGTGATGGTGGAAAGATGTTTGTGCGACTAGAAATCTGCGTTCAGTGGTGTACCACAGGTTTCCTGCTGTTTATTATGCACATTAGGGATCCAGATCAAGGTAACAGGCATGATCACTAAGTTAACAGATGATGTGAAAATTGATGGCATAGTAAATAGTGAGGAGGAAAGCCTTGAACTACAAGATGATATAGATGTGCTGGTCAGATGGGTGGAACAATACAATGGGTGGCAAATGGAATTTAATACTGAAAAATGTGAAGTGATGCATTTTGGGAGGACTCAAGGCAAGGGAGTACACATTGATTATCTCTGCCTGGAATCCCACCATTTAGAGGAACCTTGTGTGTATGTTCATATATCCTTGAAGGCAGCAGGACAGGTAGATAAGATGGGTAAGGCGGCATATTGGATACTTGCCTTCATCAGTCAAGGCACTGACTCCAAGAGCAAGGAAGTTATGATGCAGCTGTACATAACATGAGTTAGCCAAGCTGGAGTACTGTGTGCAGTTCTGATCACCACACTATAGGAAGGATGTGAATGAACTTGAAGGTACAGAAGAGATTCACTGGTATGTTGCCTGGACTACAGCTATGCAGCTGTGAAAAGACTTGAAAGGGTGGGTCTGGCAGAGAAGGCAGCAGGGGGACTGATGGAATTGTACAGAGCTGAGGAGCAAAGAGAGGGTAAATACGGACAAACTTTTTCCCATTAGGAGAGGGGTCAATAACCACAGGGTGTAGTTTTAAGGGAAGGCGCAGAAGGGTTTAGAAAGAATTTGAGGAAAGTTTTTTTCCACCCAGAGGGTGGTGGGTATCTGGAACACACTACCTAAAAAAAGAGGGACAGAGATGGCAACTCTTAAAACATTTATGTATTTAGATAAGCATTTGAAGTGCCATAACATAATAGGCTACAACCCAAGTGCTGGAACATGGAATGAGAACGGAGAGATCTTTGATAACTAGTGTGTACACAATGGGCAGGTGGGCCTCATACCATGGTGTAAAATTTCTGACTCTACGAAACGAGAATCTTCCTGATCTATCAGCATATTCAATGGATAAACACATACAGATTTTTAGGATAATTCTGAAGAAAGTTTTTTCTCTCACCTCCCCAACCATTCTCAAAGGTCAATAAGCCCAGACTGTAAATAACTTCACTGACTTCAATTGTTTCTCATCAGTTATATAGTTCTACATCAGTTTTCCAAAAGATATGAAATCAGTAGAAGTGTCTCATCTGAAAAATTATTCTACTTATCTACAACTTCGGGGAAAGAGTTGACAGATTATATAATAAAAGCTGTTTTTAGTACTGCACTCAACGCAAGAAACAAAAAAGATGAGAAACTGCATATAATTTAATATATTCTCTAGGTTCCCAAAATTACATATCAACGCTTTATTTGGGAGAGGTGTTCTTTATGACGCATTTCCAGGTTAAGGTTACGCCAAAAATGCACGTTGATGTTGTTATTTAAATAACTTACCCTCAGTGTATTACATCCAACTTTAATCCGCGCCAATCAACATTTTAAGAGACCTGGGTAATAGAAATCGTCCGATCTCTGCTGAGTTCTCCTGAACAGAGGCCTACGTTGAGAGAACTCACAACCTCAGTGCCTGTACACTCAAACCAGCCTCGGGTCAGTGTAAAAAGAGCACACGTACTGTGCTGGCTTAACGGTTTTTACTCGCCTGCTTGTCTACCTCGTCCCGTGGCCTGTCCACACGAGCAATCCCAACAGACAAACACCGACCGCTCGCGCACTGCATCAACCGCCCACCCACACTGACCATCCACGTCACACCACCCGCATCACCATCTCAAAGTCGCAGAGCATGCGCATGCCTCCGTTTTGGGTGTGAGAGACGCTATGCATTCTGGGAGTTGTAGTTTTCCTTCAACGGCTGGGCTTCCTTTTGCAGCCTCTCTGCTCCTATGATGCTGCTTGGCCTGCTGTGTTCATCCAGCCTTGCACCTTGTTGTCTCGGATTCTCCAGCATCTGCAGTTCCTACTATCTCTGATTCCTTTTGCAGCTTTTAGTTTCTACCCTCTACCCGCTTCCTTCTTTATGTTGCTGTACTGAGGTAACTGAAACTTGCGTTCGTTTATATGACCCCTTTCACGAGCACAGTGTTTTTTTTGCCATCAAAGCAGGACTGCAGCAACAGGAAGACACTGCTGATGCTAAAGACTAGAAATTGAACTGTTCGCATTCCTGGGATGAGGGGGCTGTCTTATAAGGAAACACTCAGCAAGTTAGGTTGCATCAATGAAGAGAGAAATGTTAACTGCTTTTCTCTCTCCATTGATGCTGCCTCACCTCTTGAACATTTCCAACATTTAATGTTCCATTTAAATACTTTTGAAGTGTTTAAAGTTTTTGAGAAGATTTGTAGCTCAGGTTGCAGACTTGCAGAATATTTTGTATATTACATTAGTTTTATTGGTTGTGGAAATAGGGTCCTTTACATTTGTCAGTAGCTGCTGCAGAGTGGTTGTTACTTTGTGGGCTACCCTGATACCTAGGGGTCTGTGATAACAAGGTGTAGAGCTGGATGAACACAGCAGGCCAAGCAGCATCGTAGGAGCAGGAAGGCTGATGTTTCGGGCCTAGACCCTTCTTCAGAAATGGGGGAAGGGAAGGGAAGGGAAGGGGGTTCTGAAATAAATAGGGAGAGAGGGGGAGGCGGATAGAGGAGAAGATAGGTGGAGAGGAAACAGACATCTCCTCCCTACCTCCCTACCTCCCCACCTACACTCACCTTTACTGGCTCCATCCCCACCTCTTTGACCTGTCTGTTTCCTCTCCACCTATCTTCTCTATCCATCTTCTATCCGCCTCCCCCTCTTTCCCTATCTATTTCAGAACCCCCTTCCCCTCCCTCATTTCTGATGAAGGGTCTAGGCCCGAAACGTCAGCCTTCCTGCTCCTATGATGCTACTTGGCCTGCTGTGTTCATCCAGCTGTACACCTTGTTATCTCAGATTCTCCAGCATCTGCAGTTCCTACTACCTAGGGGTCTGTGTAGTTTTTTGGTCATCTCTGAAATGTCTCTGATGTACGGTAGGGTGACTAGTGTGTCTGGCCTTGCTGTGCCTTCTTGTTGTGGTCTGTCGTGGACATAATGGTGGATTGTAATATACAAAATACCATGCAGGGATTATGAGAAACATTACATAGGCCAAACTGGAACGAAACAACAATAAGGATACATGAACACCAAGTAGCCACCAAGATACTTGACCAATTCTCACTGGTCTCAATGCACATGGATAAAGGAGGACATGAATTTGACTGGGACAACACATCCACAAAAGCACAAGCCAAACAGAGACATGCCAGGGAATTCCTGGAAGCCTGGCATTCCAACCGAAATCCGTCAACAAACACATTGAACCATTGAAAAACAGAACCGGAAGTAATACCAACCACAAAACAAAGTTGCTGGAAAAGCTCAGCAGGTCTGGCAGTATCTGTGGAGGAGAAAACAGAGTTAACGTTTCGGGTCCAGTGACTCTTCCTCAGAACTGATGGTGGCTGGGAAAACGTCAGTTTATGTGCAGAAAATAGGGAGGTCGGTGGGGTAGGGAGTAAACGATAAGATAGAGCCCGAAGAGAGAGAAAGACAGTTGGACAGACAAAAGAGTTGCTAACGATCAGGCTGGGAGGGTGAATAGTTGTTAATGGGGACTGTTAGTGTCTAACAACAGGGGGTGTATAGTGGCAGGCTATGTGGTAACAAGGCCTGGTGTGTGGGGTGGGGTGCTGGGACATGGGAGAGTTTAGGCCCTAAAATTATTGAACTCAATATTGAGTCCAGAGGGCTGTAGGGTCCCCAAGCGGAAAATGAGGTGTTGTTCCTCCAGCTTGCGTTGGGCTTCACTGGAACACTGTAGCGAGCCGGAGACAGAGATGTTGGCCAGAGAGCAGGGTGGTGCATTGAAGTGGCAGGCAACAGGTAGTTCAGGGTCTTTTTTGCGAGCAGAACGTAGATGTTCTGCGAAGCAGTTGCCAAGTCTACGCTTCGTTTCCCCAATGTAGAGGAGACCACGTTGTGAGCAGCGAATGCAGTAGACTAGATTCTTGGAAGTGCAGGTGAGGTGTTGCTTCACCTGGAAGATATGTTTGGGCCCTTGGATCATGGGGAGGGAGGAGGTAAATGGGCAGGTGTTGCACCTTCGCCAGTTACAGGGGAAGATGCCGTAGGGCTGTGGGGAAGTGTTGGGGGTGAAGGAAGTGTGGACGAGGGTGTCCCGGAGGGAACAGTCCCTGCGGAAGGCGGACAAGGGAGGGGAGGGGAATATGTGTCTGGTGGTGGCATCTTGCTGGAGGTGGCAGAAATGGCATCTGATGATCTTCTGGATGTGGATGCTGGTGGGATGGTAGATGAGGATAAGGGGAACCCTATCGCTGTTGCAGGAGGGAAGAGAAGGGGTGAAGGCAGAAGTGCGGGAGATGGGTCGGACCCCATTGAGGGCCCTGTCGACAACGGAGCTGGGGAAACCTCGGTTGAGGAAGAATGTGTACATTTCGGAGGCTTCCTTGTCGAAGTTGGCCTCATCTGAACATATGCGATGGAGACGGAGAAACTGAGAGGATGGGATGGAGTCTTTACAGGAAGTGGGGTGTGAGGACGTATAGTCCAGGTAGCTGTGGGAGTCAGTGGGTTTGTAATTGATATTAGTGGCCAGTCTATCCCCACAAATGGAAACAGAAATGTCGAGGAAGGGAAGGGAGGAGTCAGAGATAAACCAGGTGAAAGTGAGGGCAGGGTGGAAATTGGAGGCGAAATTGATGAAGTTTTCCAATTCTAGACGAGAGAGGGAAGCAGCACCGATGATATCATCGATGTATCAGAGAAAGAGTTGTGGGTGGGGACCGGAATAGGACTGGAACAAGGAATGTTCCACGTAATACCAAGCACCCCAACAAACTAAGGCATATAAATAACAAGCAGGACAGAACGCCAATGCTTCACTGGAGGCGCACTACGATGTTACCCAGCAGGGTGACGAAACATCTGCAATCAAACATACCAGCTCAGTGAGCAAGTCTGCAACTTTTGAAGTCTAGTTAATGTAGGAAACTACGACTTTACACCTTCTAGCAGTGAAAAGAGCAGGTGCCAGTAGCTGATACTGTTTAAAACCTGTAAATTTTATGAGTAGTGTATTGTTTCATCACTATTAGAAAGTTTATTGGCAGTCCCAAAACCTTTGGAGAGGAGTAGGCTGTATTAATTTATAATTCATTAGCAATGACTAACTGATAAACACAAATTACTCATGGCAGGGCAAGTGATATGCTGGAAACTTTGAAACAACAGCCCAGTGAATCTAACATTAGTGCATTAGTGGTAGGGAAACGCTTGGAAAATATTCTGAAGGACAGAATTAAACTCCACTTGGAGAGGCAAGGATTAATCAAGGTAGACAAGGGCAACATGGTGGCACAGTGGTTAGCACTGCTGCCTCACAGCACCAGGGACCTGGGTTCGATTCCAGCCTCGGGCGACTGTCTGTGTGGAGTTTGCACATTCTCCCTGTGTCTGCGTGGGTTTCCTCCAGGTGCTCCGGTTTCCTCCCACAGTCCAAGGATGTGCAGGTTAGGTGGATTGGCCATGCTAAATTGCCTGAAGTTTTCAGGGAGGTAGAGGGTGTATATTAGGTGGGTCATAGGGGGATGGATGTGGGTGGGATGCTCTGAGGTTCGGTGTGGACTTGTTGGGCTGAAGTGCCTGATTCCACACTGTAGGGATTCTAATTCTACACTCAGCATAGTTTTGTCAGGAGGAGATCATGTCTGACAAATTTGGAAGGTATTTTTAGGGAAGTAGCTAGGTGTGTAGATGAGGGAAGTGCAGTTGATGTATTCTGTGTCGATTCCAGAAGACTTTTGACAAGGTATCCCACAGCAAACTGATTATGAAGCTAAGAACTCATAAGATCCAGGGCAATTTAGCAAATTGGATCCAAAATTGGCTTAATGTTAGGAGGCTAAGGGTGATGGTCAAACATTGTTTTTGTGCCTGGAAACCTGCATCCATTGGTATACCACAGGGTTTGGTGCTGGCTCCCTTGCTGTTTGTTGTGCACATTAATGATTTAGACATCTATTTAAGAGGTATGATCAATAAGTTCATAGATGACATGAAAATTGATAGTTCAGTAATTAGCGAGGAGGAAGGGCTCTGAAAGACAAAAGAAACAAGGATTAAAAAGTGACCAGGAAAGGAAATTGACGGGTTGAGTTGTTTATACTTCAATGCAAGGAGTATTACAAACAAGGCTGATGAACAAAGGCACAGGTAGACCTACAGCAGTATGGTGTCGTTGCTATAATGAAATAGTGACTACTTGAGGGGCAAAATTGGCAGCTCAGTATCCCTGGATTTCAGATAGGATAGAGTGGGTTACAAAAAAGGAGGGGTTGCAGCAGAATTGGTTAACAAATCAATTACAGTTGTAAGAAGGGATGATATACTAAACAGGTTACCAAATTAGGCTTTATGCCTTGAGTTTAGGAATGAAAAAATGGACAGTCACATTACTAGGAGTATACTACAAACCCCCAAATCGTGAGAGGGAGACAGAAGAACACATATCTAGACAAATTTGTGCCTGTAGGAATAAGAGGGCCATAATAGTAGGAGACTTTAACTATCCCAATATCAACTTGGTTTCAAAAAATATTAAGAGACATTGAGAGTGAAAAATTCATGTACTGTGTCCAGGATTTTTTTAAAAATGATACATGACCAGTCCAATGAGAAGAGATGCAGTTCTGGATTTAGTTTTGGGTAATGAAGAT